CTAGCTCGAAACAGTTGATATTATTCAGTACATCTATTTGCATGAATCATCTTAAAATATCAATTTTCCTTTGATTCCACAATGCGTACATTTTTTGCTCTCTTCCCCCCGATTCTGTTTTGCGGACATTTTCCACTCTGCGACTATTTTTGTCTCTCTCCCCTGTTTCTACTTTGCGGATGTTTTTTTCCAACAATTAAGAAAAAACGTCCGCAATCAAGAAGACGCGAAACAAATATGTTAAGAAAGAAACATCATCAAACTAACTGATCAATTTTCATTGAATAGAATATTCATCATTGAGATTCGAATAATGAATTTGAGCATTTAGTTAATTCATGATAAGATACAGCACATTGGAATTTTATTTACAAGTCAAATGTCGTATTTAACATTGAGAAGAATAAGAAAAAAAAAGATTATTTTGCAATTTTGACTTAGCTACTTTAAATCTTGATGATAAATATTATTGACACTAAAAAAATGATTAATTATTTCATGGATTCTCGATTTTGATCCATCTTGAATTTGTTCGAATTGAAATTTTCAAATAAAAAAGATAAAAAAACACAAGTGAATTTAATATAATAAATAGATCAATCGATTGTTTTCTTTCTATATAATAATATATTTGCTTTTCATATATGTTAAAAGTAAACGGATATTAGTTTTAATAAATTTTAGTTATAAGAATAATTTATTCTAGATTTGAATAGGATTCTCTTGGAATCTACACCATAATTTAGGAGACATCTATCTTGAGAATATTATTTTAAAAGATAGCTTCGATATTCTTAGTTCAAGATTTGTTCTTGGAATTTGTATTTATAGAAAACTAAGTGTTGATTAAAAGCTAAATCATATATTAATATTCCATCATAAATACTTCTATAAAAAACAAACAATGTTCAAGAAATTACGTTTAAATATTGAGTTTTTCTAAAAGTTTTAAATAAATTTTACTTTTTTGAATAATAGCTATTGAGAATAGAGGGCTGCAGGGTGCAGGATTTGTATAACTTGTAACCTGCCCTGTAAATGTTTTTGTAACCTAATCCTGCCCTGCCCTGTGAACATTGTTGCGTACCATACCCTAACACTTTCTACTGTAACCTGTAGCCTGCCCTGCCCTGCCCTGCTATTTTTGAAATACAGGAATAGTCCAAGAAAGAATAGCCAGGTATTGATAGTTTTCTCTGCTCGGAAGAGGACAGATGTGTTTATCATTCTATGCAAAAATTGATCAACTAAACAGTAGAGCAGTATTGATCCGTTCTCATTTGATATTTTCAAAAGGATACTCTGAAAAATTTATAGACTAGAGTTTAAGTTCAAACAATCATTTGGTACAGCAAACAGAGTTGTTTCAATCTACGCATGTAAGTGTCTATACATAATTCAATTAGAAAGTTGTAACTGTTTTTCGAACATCCAAAAATCGATCAATTGGCCATTGTCATTCTGGTATGTATTGTCATAGCTAGTAGATTTTGATTATGTCAAGTCCAGTAGTGATATTTATTTATTTGTTTATTTATTTTACAACGATAGTGAATAGCTAGATGGAAATTTGAATATTTTATATCTATTTTGTATTGAATTGTCTGGCAGCCAGAGATGGGCAACTCCGATTCCGGAGCGAAGCTGAGCGACTTGTCAGAACGGCGAAGCTGGAGCGGAGTCGGAGCGACCTTTTTCTGTTTAGCTACAACCATACGCTCATTTTCCGATTAATTTCTATTAAAATTCATCAAAATTTGATAAAAAAATCGATTTTAATTGATTTTGTTGGTGACTTATGAAAAATCTTCTGCTGATATTCGGCGATCTCCATGAATCATAATCAATTTAGTTTATCAAATTTTAATCTTTTTTATCCGTAACATTTTTACATGAATTTTGTGAAACATGATCTGAAAGGACTGTGGAAGTATATAGGGTAGAAATTTGGACCCAC